CCTGCAGTTCTTACTGAAACCAGATGAGTCCCTGCAGTTCTTACTGAGACCAGATACCAAAGCAAAATAATTCAAAAAGTATAAAAGTTACAAACACTACAAGTAATCTATTACTAGTCCAGATCGAGTCAAACGTTTTGAATGGTTAAAACGCTGACTCAGCATAATGAAGAAACCCCGACTCATCTCAAAGCAGAGCCTGAAGCCCACCGTTGTGTTGCTGCAGCAGCTCTGAGCCGCCCTTGTAGCGCCGCTTGGCCAGCTCCATCCTGGCTGGCGGGTCCTCGGGGCTGAACACCTGCGAGAAGTCGAACGGTTCTCCACCGTCCCACCATCCCTTAGCCCGGGCTTCGGTCCGCAGCTCCGGATGTTCTGCTGAGATCTCGGTTCCGATGGTGAGCTGGTTGGAGATGTTCTTCACTCCCTCTGAAACGATCGATAATCTGCTGTTTGGTAAAACTTCAGCTGACCGTGTTGGAGCTAAAGTTCAGCCTTCGTCCGTACCCGAGACTCTGTGAGCGGCCCACAGCCTTCCAGCGGTCTCCAGCACCCAGGCCTGGCTGCGGTCCACCAGGAGGAAGGTGTTGTGGTAGCTGAAGGGTTCTGGGTCCTCCCGGCACTGCCCCCCCTGACCGTGGAGCTCCAGGAGATCCGTGATCACGGTCAGTGCTGCCCAGGCGCTGTCGCCACGCTCCAATCCCAACCTGTGGAGGGAATCAGACGGTCGGTCTTTGTTGGTGTTTGGGAGGAAGACAGGTTTGAGGCGGCTGGACACAAACCTGTCAGCTCTTCAAGCTAACGGTTGTTTTTACGCTTACTGGACTTTTAGCACCTGATCAGAACAACCTGGCCTCCAGATCAAAGTCTGAAGGGAATTAATAATTCCACCGTGAGATTACATCAAACAGATTAAATTTATTTGTGTGAACGCTGAGCCAGTGTTTAAAACACTTTTTTTTTCTTCTTACGCTATTTTAAGCTAACATTCTACTAGCTTTAGTTTTTATCTAGCATTTTAATCATTTAAGCTTTTGAGTAGCCTTTTACTGCTTTTAGCTATTAGCAACTCTTCAGCTACTTTATTATTTAGCTAACCTGTGATACTTTAAATTAGCTTTTTAAAAAAAACTCATTTAATGTTTGTTAGCTGTCTGCTACTGTTAGCATGTAGCTCCCATTCTGCTACTTTTAGTTTATAGCTAGCATACCAGTATGTTAGGTATTTAGCCTCAGGTGGAGGAATTCAAGTATCTCGCCATTTTGTTCACAAGTGATGGAGCGGGAGATGGATCGACAAATTGGGGCCTTGTCCTCAGTAATGAGGGTGCTGCTTCGGTCTGTCGTGGTGAAAAAAGAGCCGAGTCGAAAGGCAAATCTAGCCTTTTACTACTTTTAGCTATTAGCAACTGTTCAGCTACTTTATTATTTAGCTAACCTGTAACTGATTGCTACTTTTAGCTTGTAGCTCCCATTCTGCTACTTTTAGTGTATAGCTAGCTTTAAGTTTCGTTAGGTATTTAGCCTCAGGTGGAGGAGTTTAAGTATCTCGGCGTCTTGTTCCCGAGTGATGGTAGGATCGAGCGGAAGATGGATCAACGGATTGGGGCCTCGTCCTGAGTAATGAGTGTGCTGCTTTGGTCCGTCATGGTGAAAACCAGCTGAGTCAAAAGGCAAAGCTCTCAATTTACTGGTCCATCTACAATCAAGTCATGCGGTTTAAATCGTGATAGAAAGAATGAGATCCTGGATCCAAGCAGCCGAAATGGGCTTTGTTCGTAGGGTGGCCGGGCTCAGCCTACGAAGTGAGGAGCTCGAGGGGAGGTCGGAGTAGAGCCGCTGCTCCTCCGCATCAAAAAGTGCCAGTTGAGGTGGTTCAGGAATCTGATCAGGACGCCTCCCTTTACAGGTTTTCCAGGCACGTCCCACTGGTAGGAGGCCCCGGGGAAGACGCAGAAGTCGCTGGAGGGATTGTGCATCTGCTCTGGCCTGGGAACGACTCGTGGCCCCCAGAACGAGTTGGGGAGAGAGGTCTGGGTTTCTCTCCTGGACCGGTTGCCTCTGCGACCCGAGAACGGATAAACGGTAAAAGATGGTGACAGGAGAGGTATTTAGCTTGACTTTATCACTTCTAGCTACTGTTCTGCTACTTTATCAATTAGCTAACACTTTCAAACATTTAACTTTTAGTTAGCCATTTGCTACTTAGCAATTTGCTACTTTTAACCTGTAGCTGGCTGTTGGCTCTTTTTAGCTAGCCTTTTGCTACTTTTAGCCTATAAGTAACCATTGGCTATTTTAGTTTTAACTAACCTTTTGCCACTTTTAACTAAAATAAACTGTTCTGATACTTTATCATTTAGCTAATCTTGTGACACGTTACCCGTTTTTAAACATTGAATATTTAGTTAGCTGATTGCTATTTTTAGCGTTGAGCTACCTTTCTGCTACTTTTAGTTTTTAGCTAACCTGAAGTTTTGTTAGGCCTTTAGTTGTACTTTACCACTTCTAGCAACTGTTCTGCTACTTTAGCTTTTAGCTAGCCTTGTAATATTTTTAGCTAACCTTTTGACACTTAACTTTCAGCCAGTCTTTTGATGTTTATAGCTTTTAGCTAGCCTTTTGCTGCTTGTAGCTGGCATTTTGCTACATTTATTCTGTCTACTGGTTTAGGTTTTAGCTGCTGTTCTGCTCCTTTCAACTGTAACATCTCAGTTTTAGCTTTTTCTGCTAGTTTCAGCAGTTATTCAGCACTCAGCGTTCACATTGGGTTACCCTCCTGCTGTCCTAAAACTGAGGCCTCAGCAGCCATTTTGACCCAAGGGCAGCAGGAGGGTTGGATCATTTTGGTGAATCATTTGCAGCTCACCGAACAAGGTCCATTCCCAGCAGGGCCTCTCCAGGGGCCACAGGCTCCCGGGTCCAGACCGCCTCGTTCCCGACACACACCCCTCGGTCGTTGGCTCCCATTTCGGCGCCCCACATCCAGGCGGGCTTACTGAGGACCACCGCGTGGGTCCGCTCCACCTGAGGGATCTGGATGAACGTGCACTGCAGACGAAGCCAGCAGAAAACGTCGGAGGTTCAGAATCAGCAAACGCACATTATTATCACTAAATTCGTTCCGCTGGTTCATGAGATATTTTGCTAACAGACACCTGCACAGGTAACTACATGAGCGCCTGCCTTACATGGCAGAGTGATAATAAAAACCGACAGTTAATTAAACTTTAATCAGCTTGGATTACTTTTTTTACGTGGATTAGCATCAAGCTAATGGTACATTAGCCGTACATTTCTGCAATTTAATCACTTCTGCAGACTTTGTGCTATTTTAGCCACAAATAAATCAAAACCATTCGGCTCATTGCGGTGGTATGACTTTTAATGTTTCTAACTTTTAAACATTTAAGCTATTTAACTTTTATTTTAAGAAATATTTTCCTGTTAAATACGCTGAAACCTTTTCAAATCCTCCACTTTAAAATCTCCTTCGGCTACTGGCTCAGTTTTTAGATTCTTATGCTACTTACAACTTTTAGCTAGACTTCTGCTACTGTTAACTATCTTTTAGCTACTTCTAGACCGTCTTTTCCATATTTAACCTTTAGCTTTTTACCATCTTGTTTATTTTATCAAGCCATTTGCTATGTAGCCTATAGTTTTGAGCTAGCTAACCTTTTGCTAATGTTACGCTACTTGTAGCGTTTAGCACACATTTTGCTCATTTTAATTTTAAGCTAGCCTTATGATACTTTTAGCTCTAGTGAATTTTGCCTTTGGGGGACAAATAAAGGCTCATCTTATCTTTTTAGCTCTTTGCTATTTTTTTTATATTTTTCTTAGTGTTTCTATTTATAGCTAGTCTTTTGCTACTTTTAGCTATCTCTCTGCTACTTTTAGCAAGTCTTTTCCAAGTTTAACTCTGCTCTACCTTCCTTCCTGATTTGTTTGGCACGCTTTTGGCTAGTTTTAGTTTTAAACTAGGCTTTTGAAACTTTTAGCTAGCCTTTTGATTATTTAAGCTAACCTTTTGCTACTTTTAGCTAGCCTTTTGATTATTTAAGCTAACCTTTTGCTACTTTTAGCTAGCCTTTTGATTATTTAAGCTAACCTTTTGCTACTTTTAGCTAGCCTTTTGATTATTTAAGCTAAACTTTTGCTACTTTTAGCTAGCCTTTTGATTATTTAAGCTAAACTTTTGCTACTTTTAGCTAGCCTTTTAGTACTTCTCGCATGCCTTTTGATATGTTTGGATAACCCTTTGCTAAGTTTAGCTTTTAGCTACTATTTTGATACTTTAACCAGCTTTTCGCTACTTTTACTTTGTAGTTGCTGTTTTGCTACTAGTAGCTTTCAGCCGGTGTTTTATCTTTTAGCTAGTGTTCTTCTTTTAGCTTTACAAACTCAGCTTGGCTTTAACGAAGTTCAGTCGTCGTTCAGACTGAACTTTGGCAACAACAAAAAAAGCCGTTTTGTCTCGTTCTCCGTTGTCGTGTCGTGATGAGACCTCCAGCTGCGACGAGGAGAGAATCCAAACATAGTTTAGCTTCTGTTTCGGCTCTCACACTTCGGCTGGGACTTTTCCTGCAGCTGTTTGGACTCGTACGTTCTCAGCGCTCGAGGCAGGAGTCTCTCAGAACGCACAGCGTGTTTTCTTAACTGCCTCTGGATGATGAATTATTATAAAATGATTTTACAGCAGAACTTTTGATCCGAGCCTGATTGTCCCTCCAAGGAACCAGACTGTGCCGTAACCTTTAATAGAAGGTTCTCTTGGGGTCTTTCAAAGCCCTCCTTAGGACTTCAGCTGCGTTTTCACTTGTTTCAGGCCATTCTCTGAGTCTAGATCCTTCGAGGGCGGTGGGGTGTTTACCTCCAGCGTGGACCCTGGAGGATGAGACGCTGCTGGGCAGAAAACCACCTCCTGCACCTCATCCCGTGGACGGTCCGAGTTCTTCCCAAAGACCACCTGGTCCTCCAGAGAACCAGGGGGCAGGGACACGAAGCAGTCGCAGGATGAGGGCGCCTCTGTCATCCTGCAACAACAAACACAAAGCAGGTCTGAAGGCCACACAGGTGCCAGAGCTGTCAACCCTGAGAGACATCATCACAGCGTGCTGGACATGCAGCACCTCCCTGTAACCATAATGTGCACGTGTGGAGGAGGAAGGGCTCCTCCACCCCTCCATCCCTGTCACACCGGGATTATGTCTTCTGCAGGGCACTATCCACTAAAGCCTCTCAAATCCGACCCCCACCTCGCTTCGCCTCTCTCACGATAATCGATGCCCAGGAACTAATGTCGCCCCTCAAAAACAAAACGCTCTGCGGGCAGAAGAAGCGGCAGCGACCGGGTGGAGGTCTGGGTTTATCCCGGGGATGTGAGGCCCTGCGCCCGGTGTCACTCTCCGCGCCGTCGCCTGGTCGTCAGGGGCCGAGGTGGGGAGTGACACCCGAGGGGTTCGCGGTGACTAAACTACCGCTGAGGTGGAGTAAAATGTACCTGCTTGAATTATTTCGGAGGGGGAGCGCGGCCGGCTGCGAGGAGAAGGCAGGTAGCAGGAGCCGAGTCACGTGACTCAGAAATCCAGGAGTCTATACTTAAAGGTCTCGTCTCGTCTGACCGCAAACAACAACACGGATCATCGTCTGACAGAGTCCAGTCCGGAGAAACGCGTTATCAGGAGGCCACGGCCATGGGGCTCCACACAAACCGGCCATAACCAAGACAAGCTCCTTTAAGTGCGATTTATTCGAGTTTTAAATCAAACAATCAATAACTACGGTGGCCGCGAGGTGTAAAACGCAACAGCGGCTCAGGTTTATTCATTAACCACCTCGTTTAAACTGAAACGTGTTATCACTAAGTAAACAAGTTTGTAGTTGTACAATCTAAGGCAGGGGTCTGCAACTTTTATGATCAAAAGAGCCGTTTTGAACATAATTCACTAAATTAAATGTGTCCAGAACCGCGACTATCTGCTGCGATTATCAACTGGTGGCCCATGGGCCACTTTAGGTTTGTGGAAAAATGTTTAAGTAAAGAAATAAAGCAAAACGTTAAAGTATTTGCAAAAGAAATGACAGGAAAACAAATAAAACTATATATTTTTTGTGTTTTTTTGTATAACGACCAATAAAATTCAAATATATGTTAGTTTTGGTCAAAGCTTGAAAGAGCCGCATGACCCCTGGTCTAAAAGGCCAAGCCTAAACTATTTAATTTAAATTTAATTATTATATACTCTATTCTTCTGGTCTTTTTCTTTACTTTAACCATTTGAAATAAGCTTATACGTTATATATTTTTTACTGATTTTAGCTTAATTGTATGCTAACGTCCTGCTAGCTTTCAGCTTAGCCTCTGAATGTATTAATTTTCTGTATACTTGTTTTATCTCACAGTTAAAACTTCATTATTACAACCACTTCAGATATTGTTCATTATATGCTATATATTGTTAATTGATATTAGCACATGCTAACAATGTATTAACTTCTTGCTAGCATACAATTTAGCCTATAGGGGCTTAAATTTTATTTAGCCTATAATGTGTTAATGTTTTGTACTTATTTTAGTTGAAACACTATTGCTATTGCCACTTGGGCTTTTATTTAATAAATGCACACACTCAACATAAATATAAACGCAACACTTTGGTTTTTGCCCCCATTTGTCATGAGCTGACACCAGATGGGCTCAACCTGAACTCACCATGGAGTGGATGATCAGGATCTGCCAGAATCAGCCTGGCCTTGTTCACTCACCTTTTCTTGTTGATTTTAAGATTCTTTAACATACTTTTAAAGTTTTAAATGGCTTAGCATCCAGTTACTTAATGGATCTTTTACACATTTACAGAGCACCCAAACAGAGCACTGAGATCCTCCAGTCGGATGCTTTTAGAGCAGCCGAGGGCAAAATTAAAACGCAGGAAGGGTCAGGTTTTTACTGTGGCAGCCCCCAGATCCAGGAACTATATCCGCCCATTGCTATTCGTTCTAGAGTCAGTCCAGTTTTTTAAATCCCACCTAAAATCTCACTTTTTTTGCACCGTTTTGTAACTCAAGTTTAGTTTGAGTTTCCATCAAAACCTTTTCGTTGTGTCATTGTCTTGTTTTAATTTATTCTTTTAAATTATACTTGTTTTTAATGTTTGATCTTTCGTTTATTTTATTGTTAAATTTCCTGTTTGTGAAGCACTTTGGTCAACGTTGTTTTTTAATGTGCTTGACATATTTTAATGGTAATTATTAGTAATAAAATTTAACTGTTTGCTAGCATACTGTTAGCCCATATCCTCTGGCAACTTTTATAAATTTACATTTTTGTCTGTACTTATCTCACCAAACCACAGGTGAAATTGTGCAATAAGAAATAGTGTATTATTTTTGATAGAGGCAAAATGTGCTTCAATATCAACTGTTTGGGCTTTGATTGTTTTAACTGAGACAGAGCAAGATAAAAAGTATTCAACCACCAGATGTCACTGCATTCAGTGCACAAGGCCTTTAAATTGTTAGTCCCATTTCTCAGTAATGATTTAAATGTTTTGCACGAACGGTTTCACCAGAATCAAACATATTTATAGAAGTGCATCGGTCAAATATCGGTAGCTTTTGTAACACCGTAACAAATAAATCTAAGCTGTTCTCATCTGGATAATAAAAATGCAACCTTCATCAGGTTACGGTAAATAAATGTTTGTCCTGTAAGGACAACGGGTCACAGATTTAACGGTGACATAACCACTGAGCACACCTCAGTATTTCTTCTGGGCCTCTGGATCCCACAGCGACTAATCAGTGTAATTAAAGTTTGTGTGTGGTGTCAGTAGTTTATATATCGGGTGTGTCTCCCTTCACGGTGTTTCATTGAATTATGTCGCTGGCACTCCCTGTCTCAGACGTTATACACACTCCAGCTCCTCAAGCTGCACTTTCAAACCCACTGATGGATTTTTGTTAACGGGTCAAACCTCCATTTTTACCTCAAGTTGGAGGTGACGCTGTTTTATCAGAAGACTTTTGGAGCGGTGCTGTTTGACACGTGTTTACATTCTCAGCTAAAAATTATGGCACGTTTGGAAAAAACCAGTGAGGTTTTAAAAAAGTCCCGATCCAGCTTTGATTTCTTTATAACTTGCATCAAAAGTAACAGATTTATTTTTTTTTTTTTTTACAGACTTTTAAAGTAAAACTTGTTCTCCAGACTTTCTTTGGGTCTTTCAAAATTTTCTTTTCACTTTTCTTGATTTAAATTCTTGATCTACACTAATATCAAGGTATAAACATGGTGTGTAGAGTCAAGTCAACTTTATTTATAAAGCACATTTAAAACAGCAGCTGTTACCAAAGTGCTTAACACTAAAAAAAAAAAAAAATCAATGGGAGTAATTTAATAAATAATAATAATAAAACGGTAAATTAATTAAAAGCGTTAAAAGAAAAACGTAAAAATACTGAATAATAAAATACTAAATCAAATCACACTGTGTTAAAAAACCAGAGAAAACAGGGTTTTTAAAAAGAGATTTCTAAACAGGAAGTGAACGGACCTGTCTAATGTTGGGTTCAGATGGTTCCAGAGTTTAGGACCCACAACTGGAAAAGCCTGATCTCCTCAGAGTTTCAACCAAAAACAGCTGATCAGATGATCTCAGCTCCCGAGAAGGAACATATGGTGGAAGTAGGTCAGAGATATATGAGGGTGCAAGGCCATTTAGGCACTTAAAGGTCAGCAGGAGAATTTTAAAATAAATTCTGAAACATACAGGGAGCCAGTGAAGGGAGGACAAAACTGGAGAAATATGCTCAAACCTACAAATTCCTGTAAAGAGCCGAGCTGCAGCATTTTGGACGAGCTGTAGACATGAAATGGAGACTTGACTGACCCCAATAGAGCACGTTACATTTGTCTAGTCAGTTATTAAGGAAGGCATGGAGTATTTCTTCAAGGTCAGATCAGGTCAACACGGACTTAAGCTTAGCTATCTGCCTTAACTGGAAGAAGCTTTTCTGTAGAACAGAGTTAATTTGTTTATTAATCTTAAAGTCAGAGTGTAAAACCATCCCGAGATTTCTAACAGACTGTTTAAAATGTGGCTCAAGGGAGTCTAACAGGAACAGAGACAGCTGTAGAGCTAGGCTAAACACAATAACTTCAGTTTTTTGATCATTAAAACTCAAAAACAACTGAAGCCATCCATGCCTTGATGTCATCAAGATATTTTAACAGCGGGTGAATAGAGCAAGAACTATTAGTTTTTAACAGCAGATAAATCTGACAATCATCAGCAAAGCAGTGAAAAGAAAGACCATGTTTCTTCAGGATAGATCCCAAAGGGAGCAGACAGAGTGAAAACAGAAGGGGTTCAAGAATTGAGCCCTGCGGAACCCCGCAGGAAAGAGGCATTGAAGCAGATACACTTTTACCAACATTAACACACAAACTCTTGTCACTCAGATAAGAACAGAAGGACTTCAGGTGTCTTATTCATGAGTGATGGTGGGATGGAGCGAGGGACGGATCAACAGATCGGGACCTTGTCCTCAGTAATGAGGGCGTTGTTCCGATCAGCAAGAGTTGAGACTAAAGGCAACGCTCTGGATTTACTGGTCCTTCTACGTTCCAACCATCACGAGGTTTGGATCAAGATCGACAGAACGATTTCCTGGATACAAGCAGCTGATATGAGCTTTGCAGGGTGGCCAGGCTCAGCCTTAAAGAGAGCATGAGGAGCTCCATCATCCAGGGGGCGTTTGGAGTAGAGCTGCTGCTCCTCCGCATCGAAAGGAGTCAGCTGAGGAGGTTCTTCTGAGCAGGGTTCCCCCTGGATACCTCAGGTTTTTCAGGCATGTCCCACAGGTAGACGACCCAGAACTGTGGAGGAATTTATTGTGGTCTCTGGTCTGGGAACACCTCGATGTCCGCCAGGAGGAACTGGAGAGTGTCTCTGGGGAGAAGGGGGTCTGGACCTGCTGCCTTTGTGTCCGGACCACAGATAAGCAGTAGAAGATGGAGATGTGAAGTGCTGTCCTTCCTCTTTAGCTTTATGAGCATTTTTTTTTTGTCTCCGACAGAAAAACAGATTTCTTTAACATCCAGATTGTAACGTGACTTTTTAAATACTTTGGGTTATAGTTAATATAAAAAAAGTTTTTATTTTCTTGTTTGTGAAATATTTTCTTCCTTAACAACCAACAACTGAAGCTGAACAACCGTCTCACCTGAGACAGAGGAAGCAGCAACAGGAAGCATGTGATCGGAGATGATGATCACTAAAGAACCGGCACGGCCACATTTGTTTCCGTTGAAACGGGAAACACGGCCCTTTCTTTAGAATAATTAAAAAAAACAACAGCATAAAGACTTATCCGAGTTACGAACAGTCGAAGATGTTTTCTTTGAGCGAACCAGCTGAACTGCACTGACAGAGACATTCCTTTTGTCCTCCTGGGCGTCCGATTGTCTCTGAATCAATAACACCTTCCTCATCGACACCCACACTGGCGGTCCGTTCTTAAAACCGACTCAGGTTGCATGTTTGTCCCCGGGAGGAACGTTTTA